TTATCGATTATTTGGATTAGTATAGTTTGTTAAATTAGTTAGTTTAGTAGCTAGTTTAGATTATTATTATAGTTTAAAGCCCATATTCCCAAATTTTTCCAATCCCAGATTAATTTAGTCCTTCTCAGTTGGTGGTGACTGTGAGATACTTACTTCAAAACACAACCACCATATTTGACTCAAATTTACTTACTATCAAAAAAAAAAAAAAAATTGACAGATTTGGACCACTTTGAGGATAACAGGACAATAGATGGAGAACCTGAGCACCCGCCAACTTATCAAAACCAAAACATGAATCCCGCTCATGCTATTTTAAGAGAAATAGCTCAAGCTTTTAGGGATGTCGCCGTTCATGACATTCCACCCAACCCAGAGAAAATAATTGGGTACATGTAAAGACTTTCAAAGGCAAAGAGGATGAAGACCCAGTTGAATGGATCGAAGCTTTTGAAAGGGCTGCAGATGCAAATAATTGGTCCCGGGCAAGAAAAATTAAAATATCATCAGGACATTTAGCTGGAATCGCAGCTAGCTGGTATAACGATAATAAGGACAATTTATTGTTCTGGGAAGAAGAAGGTAACCCAGAAGACAGTTTTGTCCTGGAATTCACTAAATATTTCGCCACTACAGAATGAAAACATCGTTAGCAATTAGAACTGACCTCACTTACCCAAAGCGAAAACGAAAAAGTAGATCAATATGTCTTCAAATTCAAAAGTCTCTTGAAAAGAGTCGATCCAGGCAAAGAAATACCCACCACTTATGTCATCAGAATATTTATGGGGGGCCTCTACGGCAGGACGGCTGCCTTAATGTCGGCAGAAGACTTTGACACCTTAGACGAAGCTATTGCCAAAGCAAGAAAAATTAAAGCTGGCAATTACTATGAAACAAAGAAAAATAATGAACCTAATGAGAAACTTATCGATGATCTGACAAAAAAATTACAACAAATGGCTGTTAATTATGAAAAGTTAACCACCAACCTTGCTGCCCAAGCTGAGGTAAGCCCTCAATCGACTCCACTTAGGCAAAACTGATATCAACCCCACCAGATAAGGAGTAAGGGTATGGAATGTTATTTCTGCGGAGGAAGAGGCCATATTGCCTGGAACTGTCATTTTAGGAGACACCCAAACTCTCAACGACCACCCAGAGACTCTCGTAGCTCCACTTTACGTATCAGAAATGTCAATCTATATGACATTTATAGTGATATCCCTGAAGACGAGGCCTATGTTATTAAGCAACAAGCAGAACACGAAAGTCAATGGGATGATCGATTAAGAAAAAAGGTTAATTTTGAGCATACCTTGATCCAACAACATTCACAACCTACTGCTATGGAAGAAATTGTTCCAGTTTAGTCCCAATTACAAACCAATACTAGAGTAAAACAAAAACGTGGGCCTTCAGTGGTTGATTCTGCACCTCCATATGATATTGCCAAGAACTTATTGGAGCAACGCGCCAATGCGACATACGCCCAACTCTTGCAAATCCTAAAACAAAGACATAATCTAGCCAAAGCCTTATGCTGCCCAGAAATTAATATAGTAGAAACCACTAATTTTGCTGAGAATATACTTAACCAAAAAACTACTGCGGCCAAATACTATGTTCGGGTCAATAATAACCCAATATTAGCAGTTTTGGACTCTGGAGCCACATTCAGTATAATGTCGATGAAATTAGCTAGGAAACTTAACCTAACCATAACAGAGCCCTCTAATACCATAGTTATTACCGCCAATGGGGCTCAAGAGCGTGCTTTGGGAAGATTGCTAGAAGTAAAACTAGCAGTACAAACTGTTTTAATCCCACCGATTTTCAAGTAATAGAAAACCCAGATGAAATGATGCTCCTTGGAATAAATTGGTTCCAAAAGGTGCACGCCCGATTATATTTTGATATACAAAAACTGTCCTTACAGTATTTGGGGAAGCAGATAGAAGTCCCAATCTACCAAGCAAAAGAAGAGAAAATAGAATTTCCTTCTGACAATGATAACGAAGATGATGACTTCTTTGATCTGTATGAAAAAGAAAATGACCTAGAAGAGGTGGAAAGTTATTATACGGATGAAGCTGAAACAGAAGAAACAAATTGTAACCTCTTAGAAGGTATTGAGAACCCCGCAATATATTTAACAGACCTAGAGGAACTCCCAACAGCAGAAAGAAGTGACCAGCCTGAACTAACCCGCAAGGAAATCATTGAAGAGTTAGTATCATCAGAAATATTAAATGAAAAACAGAAAGAAGACGTAGCACAAGCCCTAAAAGGGTTTCAAGAGCTTTTTGCTACCAGGTTACACCAATTGGGCCAGTACCACGAAATTCAGCATGAAATTAACACCGGCAACGAAAGACCTGTTAGGCAATCAGCCTATCGGGTTGCCCCGGATAAGCAGGACTTTCTGAACCAGGAAATCAAAAAACTGTTAAAAATAAATTAATAGAAGAAGTAAAAAGCTCATGGGCTTCACCTGTGGTTATTGTGCCGAAAAAGAATGGGAAACTAAGGTTATGCATTGACTATAGAAAGTTAAATGCTATAACCAAGAAAGATGTTTATCTGTTGCCACAAATAGACGAGCTTTTAGAGACATTTGGGAAGGCGGAGTGGTTTTCTTCTCTTGACCTAGCCAGCGGATACTGGCAGATAATGATGAAGGATGAAGACCGTAAAAAAACTACCTTTATAACGAAAAAGGGCAATTATGCCTTTAACGTGATGCCCTTTGGCCTATGCAATGCTCCGGCCACCTTTCAAAAGGCTATGAGTCATACCTTATACGAATAACATAGGGCATTATGTGGAAGTGTATCTAGATGATATAATTATCTATTCAAAAACCTTCCAAGACCATTTAAACTATCTTAATACCGTCCTAGCAACCTTAGCTGTAGCCGGGTTAAAATTAAACCCTGAGAAATATGAGCTATTCAAAAATAGCATTAAATGCTTAGGGCATGAGGTAGGAAAAGCCGGCATCACCCCCAGACGAAGATAAAATAGCCCAAGTCAAGAATTTTCCCATTACGGTTAACTTAAGGCAATTAAGATGCTTCATAGGCCTAGCCTCTTATTATCGCCGCTTTATCAGGAATTTTGCCACAATTGCAAAACCTTTGCATCAATTATTGGAAAAGGACGTACCTTATCAATAGGAAACAGCACAGCAACAAGCCTTCGAAACATTGAAGACCCACCTCATTACTGCCCCGATCCTAAGATACCCTAACTTTGAAAGAACATTTTATCTTTATACCGACACGTCTGGTATTGAATTAGGGGCAGTATTGGCCCAAAAAGATGAAAACAAGAAGGAGTATGCCATTGCTTATGCAAGCAAAAGCCTTACACGCCCAGAAAGAAATTATGCCGCCACGGAGCTGGAATGTTATGCTGTGGTTTGGGCAGTGGAATATTTCCATCATTACTTAGGGTATAAACCATTTATTGTTGTTACGGACCATGCAGCATTAAGATGGCTTCACAATACCACCCTGAAAGGGAGAAGAGCTAGATGGATTCTACGCCTTCAACTCTATAACTTCACTATCGTACACAGATCAGGTAGGGTCCATAATAATGCTGATGCATTATCACGCATAGTTACAGACATACCTAGACAAGAAAATGGCAATCGCGAAACTGTTAGCCATTATCAAAAAGTAGCAGATATGAGAAATGTTAAAGAAAATCACCAAGGTAAATTACTATCTGAAGAAACCAAATTCGCTGAATTTGAAGAGGTGGAAGTTTTCAGGGCAATTGCCCAAAAATACTTCCCCGAAGAAATTGATGAAGAGACAAAAACTATCCCTAAAGATCTTAATACGGAAGAAAGCAAATGGGAAGATTATGGCACTGATGAAAATGAAATTTGGGAATGTGAACTGGACGAAGAACTCACCACAAGTGAAGTAGAGCGTGAAAGGTATCTTCAGGCTCTCTTAATTGAATTGGCTATAGAAGCCGAAATAGAAATTACGTGGTTCACTCAAAATGGTTACCAATACGAACCTGTAAGCCATAGTAATCTTGAAAGTAATCCACAAGCCATGCTATTAAACAAAGCCTATCAAATTAACATACCCCTATGAGGAGAAATAGCAAGAGGGCTGGAATTTGAGAATAATAATGGGGAATGGAATGATATCATTTATTCCGGCTCCAACCAAATTTGGAATGAAATCGAGGATAACAACCCATTATTTGGATCTATGGAGGCTAGTAGTAATTTTAAGAATAGCCCCAAACCTTTGACGAATTTATTGACTGGGAAGTCTATGATAGCATGTAAAGAATGGAAGAGAACAATACCTTTTTGACCTAAAATGTCCAGAAAATCATAAACCCCTCAAAAGCAAAAAACCATATTAGATTAGTACCCTATACTTATATATATATATAAAAAAAAAAAAAAACTAAACTTCCAAAATCAGATCTGACAATAGAGAAAGGTTGGTCAGGATGGAGTAGGGCGAGTTGGGGCCCCATTCAAAAGACAAGAAGACATAAAATCTTATATATACAAAAGGACAGAAAAATATCACAGCATCATTATTCAAGGGCCAGAACAAAAGATAGCGCCAAGTATCGAAGAACAATATTGGAAGGAAGATACGAAATTATTACAGAAAGAGTAGTGATAGCGAGATAGAAACTATCAAACGAAGTATACTAACAAGAACGTGAGGAAGCATTACTAGGGCTAGAAAGTTAGAAAAAGGAACAGTGTCACACTAAACAAATCGAAACTAAACAGGTCAATAAATAAGCAAATTTGGATAGATTGGGAATTACGAAACCCAGTGGAAAGACCCATACAGATTGGTCATTGTTATTAAAATGGAATCTACGAAGAATTGACACTAGAAAATGCTTGAACGGCTCAAAGAAATTGAGTAGTAACCGAAAATATGAGGCTATTAGCCAAAATAGATAAAGATGAAATTAATAATCTTGGAACCAGCTAACCATGCGAAACAATTTTGCAAGACACGAAGAAATACCTACCTAAAACGAATACTAAAGTTAAATCTGATGCTAAGCGAGAATTCTGACAGGTTGTCAGTGTCCTGGTACCAATAATTGAAAGGAAAAATACCAGTCGTTAATAAAAATTCCAACGTAGGGTCTGGAAATATGAAGATGCGGTTGAATGGATTCCATTTAATAGATGTTAAAGAAATCGGTAAAGGAGGATTGGTTTCTGTATATTCAGCAACCTTGTTGGACAGTATACGGAAAGAAGCTGAAGTTGAACTAATAAGCAGTCAACTAAATTAATATCGATATAAGAAATTAACCAGAGATTATAATCATGTGATATCGTGAACAAAGTTCATGATTAGCAGAGACCCAACTAAATAGAAGTAAAGTATCAAGCAAGAAAGAACAATAGATATGACAAAATTTGATATGATTAAAGGCCAACGAAGTATAAGAGAGTCTAAGTCTAGACCAAGAATTCGAAGCTGCGGAAGGAAGACTTAAAATCTCCAAGAAAAGCCATACAGAGTAGTATTGACGCGAGTAAAAGGCTTTTACCCAAGAAAATTGAAGGAAAAGCACAAAGGCAAATACCTACTTAGTCATACCACACATACAGAAGATATAATCGCAAGAAAAGATAAATAACGGTTGGGTATTGATACCAAAACGGAGTTGGAGTCGATAACGAAACTCGAACATTGACGAAATTAGAAAGATTAATTGTTAATTAATACTCGAACCACTGAACAAAGCTAAAGCTTCAATCAACCTTAAATCTGACATTAAGCTCAATCCAGACCAGGTCGTCAGTATCCTGGCACAAATCAAAGCCAAGAAACTTGATTATCGAGACATTAAACAAATGGATCCACAATTATACACGGCACTAACCACATATCTTCGATATCGACAGTACTCACCACACTACAAAAATCAACAGCGCAGACAATTGGAAAAGCAAAGCCGATTCTTCCAAACTAAGAATGGAAGTTTGTTTAAGAAGAATAGAAAACCTGGTGGGAAGCTACAAAAAGTTCTACAAGAAGGAGAATTGAAGCTTATATTAAGCCTAGCACATGACTATCCGACGAGAGCCCACTTCGGGAAAGATATCATGTTCAATAAAATTCGAAGCTTCTATTACTGGCCTCAGATATATCATGACATACGCGAGTATGTCAAGACATGTGAGAACTGTCAATTGCATGGAAAAAAGAGATCCAAGGGACTGCTATGCCCATACTAGTCAAAGCCCCATTCCATAGAATAGTTATAGATATTGTCGGACCACTACCTATAACGCCTCGATCCAATAAATACATAATAGTTGCGACCGACTATATGACTAAATGGCCCGAGGTGCGTGCAATTCCTAGGGCTAATGCTAAAGAGGTGGCTAAGTTCATCTACGAAGAGGTAGTATGCATGGTTGCCCAGCATTATACTATCCGACCAAGGATCCCATTTCAACAACCACATAGTAGATGAGCTTCTCGCGGTCATGAATACTGAACATCATAATTCTTCCCTGTATCACCCACAAACAAATGGGCTAGTTGAACGGTTTAACCAAACGTTATGTAAGGCCATTGCTAGATTAGTGACAAACGTGACAGACTAGGACCTCATAATATCGCCAATTTTATTTGCTTACCGTACGGCAAAGCAAGCCACGACCCATGAAATGCCCTTTTACTTGGTATATGGGAAGGAAGCCCAATTACCCCTGCATTCTAGTATGTCTAATGATTTGTTAAACAGAACGATTATCCAAAGGCTGTATGAAATCGACAACGATCTCCCACAAGCCTTTGAAAACGTGTTACGCCAAGTCGGTAAGGAGCAACAAAAGCAAAAGGCACATCATGATTGACAAGTCAAAGCCACAGATGACTTCAATATTGGCGACAAAGTGCTCATTCTCGAAGCCAGAAAATTGGGCACCCGTAGTTATAAGCTAATGCCCAATTGGAAAGGGCCGTACTATGTTCATGCTAAACTCACGAAAGGCGCCTACAAATTAAGAGAATTAAGTGGGGAAGTTCTTGCAGTACCCCTTAATAAAACATTGCTCAAGCCCTACCATGAACGAGAAATACCGCGAAAACAGACAAAAAAAAAAGAGAAGTGAAAAGAAAAAGATACATACAAAAAAAAAAAAAAAACAACAAACATACACATATATCTCTCTTTTCTTTTAAAAATGGGTAATATGACTTCCGTTCAGTGAATTCAATGGGACCAATACAGCTTAGACCCTCTCGAAGTGAACCCAACACCCTGTTCTGCGCCGGAAGAGACCAATCTTGACGCAAAAATGGCTGTGATATTCTATCACCTTCTCAATGCGGTATATGAGGGTGATAGAATAGAAAGTCTTGTTTATACCTATTATCTAGGCTCATATCTTAACCAAGTCCCTGTACCTAGGCAACGGACTATTAGAAGTGTTGCCACCCGCCATTATCGCATCGCTGCCCTTCGAATTTATCGTGTTTTTTTTCGTTATGGTGGTGTAGAGCAGCTATACTGCACCACCTACACCACACTTAGTAAAATCCGACATTTGAGTGATGCGGATTTCTGTAGCATCTGCTAAGACCACATCCTCATGGTACTCGAAGTTAAAAAGAGGGGAACTATGAGAGGCGAATCTCACCTATATTATTATTATTATTAGATAGTGTCTGCCCCATTTCATTTTTTTTTATTATATATTAC